TGGGTGCAATGTACTGCTGCGCATATGTTCTTTATCTGAGAAATTGATCATGCAATACACCGTAACAGAGGACTCCATTCTCCTTTATTCTGATATTGTTGATTATGGGAATGAGTTGACTAGAATCATTTATTCTCGTCAACAAGTCTCATTTCCTTCCCCCTCTCACATTTGCCTTAAAGCCTCTTCTTTGAGCTAGTTTTCTACAAGGAACGTCAAGAGAATGCAGCCCCAGGAAGGGCTGGGGCACATACACTTGGCTCTGTACTTTACGGAAGAGATGATGGGCTCAGGCTTCCAAGCTGACATCACCAGCATGACCACACACCCACAGCCTATGCAGGATGCAAGAGTCTATGGTCCAGAAGCAAATGGCTTAGCAAAGTGAGCTGACTAATCAAGGACTGTATGAAACTGATTTCACTGTGATTAATGGTCCATTTTCTAAAGGCCACATGAAAAAACTTTTTTCTCCCCTTTGGTCTACCTTTGATCCTCAATTGAAGATGTTATATTTAACAAAGTAGACTAAAATATCTGTTAAACGGTCCCTTGTTCCAACTACCACCTCACAATTCATGGTAGGAGGAACTATAATCTCAGCAGGAGGATCACCACAAATTCAAGGCCAGCCTGGGCTACATAGTGAGTTCAAGGTCAGCCTGCACCACATAGCCAGACCCTATCTCAAAACAAATAAACAATAAAATTAACAAACTAATAAATTTATCCAGTAAGTTTTCTATTGAAAACAATGTATAAAATCAGTAGTAGTCTATAAAACTACTCAGAATAATTCTTTACAAACATTCAAAGTGCTTTTAGGGTGATCTCTTTTCTTTTCACAATCATTAGTTCTGTGTACAGATTCAGTAAGAATCTCCTCTCCTTCCGAACACGATATAATTGAGTAAATCAAATTTGTAACCATGACCGCGCCAGAAATGTCACATTTAAAGGCAAATCTCATTTAACTAGGCATGACAAGCCTGACAGGCTGGTACTTCTTATGTGAGAATGAGGCCTCCCCGGGCCTCTGGCAAACACTGGACCTGCTCCATGGCTTGTGAGGCGGCTGTCTTGACGGTGATTCTAAAATAAATTAATTCCTGCTATTCCAGGAACATTGATAAACTTGAAGATTCTCCAAAAAGAGGGTAACCTACAGTCACACAATCTGGCAGAGGTGAATTGGATGGTTCTGAGTTCCTGATCTCTGATAATCTAAGAAAAGATTTTTCTACCCACCCCACAGGACACAAATGAATAAAACTTTGACAAATCTCCTGGCAGAAGTTAGACTCTGCAGCCTTTGTTCTACATGCTCTAACTCTAAGAACCATGCAACCAGGAGGACTTTGCTTATTAACCCACACCTTATTACATACATCTGTGCACATAAAACTGGCTAAATTTTTTTTTTTAAAAAGCAATGACAAAATCAGAAAATTGGTGAGACAAACTTCTTTGGTCAGGTCCATGCCTTAGGAGGCTTGGGAAGGAGAAAAGAGACTGCCAACTTGCCCTGCAGCCATTTCTCTTGTCACACAACATGCTCCAAAGTCAGAGATACAGACAAAGTAAAACACCTTGCATCCTGGGATAAAGGATACAAGGACAATGCAGGCAAAAAAAAACAACAAAAAAAACCAGGTTTCCCTTTCTGTAGTATTAAAGTTCCCTGAAAGAGAAAAAACTGAACTTTGTCAGTAAGTTAAAAACTCCACAACAACACAGTTTTCTCCCTGATGTTGACCATGCTGATACTGGTGACCACATGACTACACCTCCAGCAATGATAATCATCATGTGAGCAAACTATTTCTTCCCCTCTGACAACTGAATTGCAATTCTGGAAACCTTTCCTTTGTTTTGTTAAATACCTCTGGTATTTTTATTTGATGAGCCAATCTCTCTGATGTCTACACTCCTCTGCAAGAACTTTTCTTCCTTTAAAGCTTGTGTATCTTTGAGTTTCCCTTTCACACTCTCAGCTAGACTGTAAGCCCCAATAGATTTTGTTTATTTTGTTCCTGGCTGTATCCTCAGCACCTAGAATGGTGTCTGGCATATATAAGGGCTCTGTAAATATTTGTTAAACAGACGAATCATATGCTCTATACAAGCTAGTTCTATTTATTCCACAGATATTTAACAAAGCCCAAAATGTTTTTATGTGCTACATAATGGGAATACAGAAACAGAGGACACTAAGTCCTTGCCTTTAAGAGCTCCCAATATCTCAGGGAAAGTGGGCAAATATGCAGGCCAGTATGTGACAGCCCACCACTGCTGTAATGCAGATGCACATGGCCTATGAGAACATATGCCAGGCCCCTTACCCAGGTTGGGGCCCAGGAGAGCTTGTGGGAAGAAGCTAGACTAAGCTGGATAGAGTTGGGCAGAGAAATGGAGTGTCTCAGGAAACGAACACAGCATGTGCAAAGACCTAGGGATGAAAAAGTGGTGCAGTAGTGAGAGCCGAGTTCAATGGGGTTAGCAAGGCCACAACATACAAGGCCTCTAAGGTCAACCAAAGGAATTTGATCTTGACCTTGGGGGCAACAGACACCTAGAGAAAGTCTTTGCTTCTCCTTGCACCAGCTCCATGCACCAGGCCCCAGGTGCTGAGCTCAACAGGCTGCAGTAGAGCAACATCAGGCAGGCCACATACCTGGTGTGCTGCTGGAGGTGGGAGAGCTGTCGGAAGGACTTATCACAGTAGGAGCAGTGGTAGGGCTTGACACCCAGGTGGATGCGCAGGTGCTGGGCCAGGTAGGAGGCGTTGGCAAAGGACTTGGAGCAGTGCGGGCACTTGTGGGGCTTGGCCTCTGTGTGCGACTTGGAGTGGATCTGCATCTCAGACTTGGTGAAAAAGGTCAGCGGGCACACCTTACACCTGCAGGCAAGAGGCAGGTTCACACCTGGGAAGACCTCCCCAGCCCCTGCTCTACATCTCCGGGGAGACCTACATCAGAGAGACCTGCACCTGGAACAGAGCTTGCCTGTCAGGAGGCCAGGGGACACAGATCCACTTGGAAAGAAAGCAGGTTCTCAGCCTGGGCACCCTCCAATTTGGGGTTGGAAGCTCCTACATCTGGGGAACATATGCAGCAGCCTGGGGAAACGGTCTACACTCATGGAAGACAGGCCAGGATCCCAAAGAGGGCTGGCAAAGGGCCACACCCACGGTGGGGAAAGGAGGCTTTAACATGCTAAATACTTTACAACCTGACTACAGTCAGAATCCTCTGGGAGCTTTCAAGAAATACCAATGCCAAAAACAAAACGAAACAAAACAAAAAGCAATGCCTGGTACCACCATGTCCCCATCTCCCAAAAATTAATTCAAACTTGCTGAGGTGCAGTCCTGGCATTGACACATTTTGAAAGTTCTTCAGATGGTTCTAACATGGAGGGGCACTGCTTAAAGGGAGGAGGACATGGACTCCCAGTGACCTCTGAAGGATCTATTTCCCCCCTCCTGCCCTGTCCCCCAACATGGCTTCAGCTTTGTGCAGGGTTCCTCAGGAGACCCTACCCCTCTAGACCTTAGCTTCTGTCCTTAGCCCTCAGGGTCCCTCTTTCCAATGCTTAGTGCCAGCTCCCTGCCCCCCCAACCCTGTCCCACCAAGACCCCCACCTGTATGTCTTGCCCTCCTTGGCAGTTTCGCCTGAGGCCAAGATGGGGTAGGGGACAACAAGGACGGGGGGACCCCCTGGGTTCTCTGCCTTGATCTTTTTTCGGCCACGTTCAGACTTGGGGGGGCCAAGCAGGCCATGGCCCTGGATTGTCTTGATGGAGTCCAGGAGGGGGGGGCTGGTGATCCCTGAGATGAGGGTGGGGGACGAGGCGATGAGGCGGCTCTGGCTGGTGGTGGTGGGTGTGGATGGGGTGCTGGTACCCGTGCCTGTGCCGGTGCCCGTGCTTGCACTTGACTCAGACGTGCTCACAGCCGGGGTCCGGGAGGAGAGCCCCAGACCTGTGAAGATACCAGGTTGGGGCAGGGGTGACGGGAGCTGCGGAGGCCAGCTCAGCCCAGGCTACCCAGCTGTGTGACCCCAGCATCTCTGAGCTTCCCTTCCTATTCATAAGTTATTTCCCAGACAAATCTAAATGACAGCATGTATATGTGTAAAATGCACTAGATAACTTAAGACTGAATTAAGTGAGATAAGAGACATTTTGGAAATAATTCCAACCACAGAAAAATCTTTAGGCACAAAGATGTTCAACACTATGTCATTTATAATTACAAAAATTTAAAGACAACTGAAACATACATTAGGGAAGGGTTGAGTAAATAAATAGTGGTCTCTACTGAACGTCCCATTAACCATATTTTAAAAACCTATAAATGTATGCATAAAGAAAAAATTTTTAAACGTGCCAAAGTATAATTATGGAAGGAAGTAATTTAAAAGAGTGTTTGATTTTTTGGCTCTCTGATTCTTTGATAATGAACTTTTTAAAACTTTTACAATTAGTTATGCTTTTAAAAATGAAGGAACTAAAAACATTTATAATATCAATCTTAGCAGCTAAAAAGATGAAAATGGTATTTATCATGTAGATTAAAGAAAGAAAGAGAGACAGAGAAACCAAAAACCTGTCCATTGAAAAAAGCCAATATCCAGAGTCACCATGAGTATGTTTTGTGTCTCACACTCATGGTGGAAACATACATTTGTGCAGCCTTCATGAAGGGCAGTTTGGCAATAGCCATCAAACTTTAAACATACGAAACTTTTGACTGAGCAATCAATTCTACTTCTAGAGACCTACCCTAAAGAAACGGTCACACATGAGCACACAGAACTGTGTACAAGGCCCTTCCACTCAACTCTGTGGTCAGACAAAACTGGATACAACTCGTCTGTCCTCAGTTGGGCCTGTGCAAACATATGTGGGACCCCCTCAGATGGAGGACCACACAGCCACCCAAACAAGAGAGCCGGAATACAGTGCAGAGAGCAAATGCCAAAATGTGCCATCATGTGAAAAAAAGGAAATCACAGACATTGCAAACCCATCTATTTAAAAAACACACACTTAAACTATATACAAATACATGGACAATGTATGTGTGTGCGAAGGCACTGGAATAGATCAGAGAAAAGACACACCATACTGCTAAACTGATTCTCTCTAGGGAGGAAGAAGAATTTTTGGGTAACAGGAGATTTTCATGCTTTATTTATCTGCTTCTATATGATTTGAATCTTTTACCTGGTGAATTCATCCATTTTTTATATCTGTGATTAAAGGATAAAATAAAATAAATTATAGAGAAAACATAAAAATTCTAACAATTAAAAAACGAAGGCTAATTTTTCTTTCACCTTATCTGCCATTTCTAAATTTTCTATAATGACTATACTATTACCTTTTCAATAAAAATGCAATAAATGTGTTTATGATAGAGCAGCAAGTAGCAAAAGCAAGTTAAATCATAGACACAGCTCTCCCTACCATAAGCTCAGAAAAACACACACACACATATTAAAAAAAAACAACCAAAAATATGAAAAAGAAAGGAAATGGACCAAAAGGCTCTTTAAGCTGCTGGGGTAGGAGTTGGGGATTATGAATTATTTTTTTCTTGGTTTCTCTTTTTTCCAAATTTCCCTTAATATGCTTATATTGCTTTTTTAATATTACTTTTATAATGAAAAAATAAATTTAATAAAATCATAATCAAAGGAGATGTGCAGAGTGCAGCTGGGGCCGCAGAGGATCACCAGGCCCCACAGTTCTTGGGCACCTCTAAGAAAAGGAGAGAGACAGGAAAGGAGACAGATAGCTGGCTGGTGCCACAGGGGAGCCATAGCGGCTTCCTGAGAAAGCTAGGACTAAGGAGGATCTCAGACACTCCAGGCCCTTGACACATCCCCAGGATATCCCACAGCATTCCAGCCCCAACCTGTCCAAGACACAGCTCCCCTCTTCCCATGCACCTGTTCTGGTGATCCCGTCTCCACGGTTGTGCCCTGGGAGTCTCCTGCACATCCACCCTCTCCTTGCCACCTACATCCTCTCCAGCAGCCCTGTCCACTCTTCTCACTGTACCTCAGATCTGTCCACTTTTCTCCATTCTCACTGCCACCTCCTGGCCCACTCCATCATCCTCTCCCAAAGATCCCCCTACTTCCATCCTCGTTCCCAAATACCCAGTTTCTACCCCACAGGCAGACTCAGTTTTCCAAACCTACAACTGACATTTCCCTCCCCTACTTAAAATCCTTCCAAGGCTCCCCTGGAGCCCCAGGGCAAAGTACACACTACTTAAAGTGCCCCACAGGGTCCTTGATCATCTAGTGCCTGCTTCCTCTCAGCCTGGGCAGAACTAGGTCCAGCAAAGGGTTAAGACCTGAGCTCTGGAATCACGCTGCCTGCCCCTGTTTCCTTCTAGCTCTGAAAGCTTGGTTTCACATGACTTTACTTTTCTCTGCCTTAGTTTCCCCATCTGGAGACATTAGGGTGAAACACATAAAGCTACAGTTTTTGTAAGTTAAAAAAGGTTCATTGTTCAAGCTAATACTAATAACACCCACTTCACAAGTCTGCTGGGAGTAATAAAATGATATCATTAAGCACAGGACCTAACTGGACTTAGCTACCATTATCATCATCATCTTTGGTCTTCCCCAAACCAATCCTTCTCTTGCTTCCTACATACAATCCTCCTTGGCATGTGCTGTTTCCCCTTCCTGCTCTCTGATCTTGTTGACTGGCAAACTTTCCTTGTATTTTGGCTCCCCCAAGGAAGCCTCTCTTCCACCAAATCTGGTCAAGTTTATTCTGTAGATTCCCAAAGTTCTTCATGTTGATTTGGGTTTCCTGTGAGCCCCCAACAGACAGACTAGCCCTTGACTGGTCCATCGGAGGGAGTTTCCCAGTACAGAGACAGAGGAAGTCCTGTGGTTAGTCCCACCAGCCCGAGACTCAAGCTTACCCCCATTCTTCGCAACTACAGGCCCTGCGCCCCAGGTCTCGCCTAGCCAGATTCTAGCTGCACTGAGTCTCCACCTAGCCCTGCCTCCATTCCACATTCTCTGTTCAATCCTCGCCAGTCTCGCCCATTTCCCAGGCCCCACTCTTCCTCCCCGCACCCTATCTCCACACATCACAGGCCCCACCCACTCCTCCACCCGGCCGGTCTCCACCCACCGACCCCGCCGGCCCTCCAGGTCCCGCCCCGTTTCCGCCCACCCCGGGCCCCGCCCACTCTCCTCTCCCGCCCTGGCTGCCCACCTGTAACAGTGCTGGTGGCCGGCCTTGCGTGCAGTGCCACGTCCGGCTGCGGCACTGCCTGCGGATGCAGCCCGGGCACCTGCTGCAGCTTGGGCAGCGACATGACAGCCTGACTGCTTTCGGCGGGCGCAGGTGGCACTAGCAGCGGCTGCTGAGAGGAGGCCGATGTGGGCGGCAGGTGAGGCGGCCGGATCTTCTCCGCCATCAGCTGCTCCTTGATCTTGTTAATCAGGACCAGGTTGTCCAGCTGGCAGTGGGAGAGAAGATGGGCTGAGGGCGCTCAGGCCAGTTCCCTGGGCCGCCGGTTGATCATACTACGACGCCGCGCGCGCGCGCGCGCGCACACACACACACACACACACACACACACACACACACGCACGGCAAAGCAAAGCCGCAGGGGGGGGGAGGGCAGTCAGGGGAACAACATCCTCTTACCTGACTGGGCATGGTGGGAGGAGGGGGCCAGAAGTAGGGGTTGTTAAATCGAGGCTCGGCCATCCTGCGGGGAGAGAGAGAGAGTCTGTCACTGCTAAGTTCCCATCAGCTAAGCCCACTCACTTCAGGACCAGTGCCTGGGATCGCCCGCCCCGGCCTTGGGCTCCTAAGCCATGAGACACAGCTGGCCTCCCACCAGGCTAGTGAACCACATCTCCAGTCTAGAAGGTCTGGAATTCAGGGGCCCCAGAGAGCAAAGATCAACACCCAGACCAGAATGCTCCCAGCCACCCACCCCCGACTCCATCAGCCTAGCATTGGCAAGTTGGTCTCCATCCCCCAGGAGGTTCTGCGCTGCAGAGCCAGCCCCATGGACCCATGGATTCCACAAAGAAGTCCCTCCCCATCCAAAGATGAACTGGGAGTCCTGGAGCAACTCTGCAAGTGGCCACAGAGCAGAAGCAACTGTCCATCCCCAACCCGTCCTTCCCTTGAGCGAAGGCATCCTCATTAGAGTTGAGGGGCAAATTGGGATCATCAGATACAGCCTTTCCCAAGGGAAGTTTGGCAGGACAATTTACAGAGACCCAAATGACTACTGCCCTTTGACTCAAAAAATCAGACTTCTGTAAAGTTACCCTCAAACAAAAGGCACAGATGGACAAGGCACCATTTGACCTACCAGGACACGCTGCTGTTTGCTAGGAGGGGTTTGTGGGGGCCTAAGGCTAGGGCACTTTGGGGACATTTAGTGGGCAATCCCACCAGTGGCCCTCACCTCTGGCAAGTTTCATAGCAGCCTGTGTGGTTAGATGGCCTTTTCAACCAGGGCAGTGTGAAGGATGGGCCTTGGGGGCCACCTCAATGTTCCAGAAAGTTTGAGTCTCCTGTGACCCTGGACTTACAGGGACTGTGCACAGAAGCGTTCTGTTAAGTCTTACTTCCTCTTAAGCCTCTCTTAATTCTCTTACAGAAATTACTAGCTGCTGGTTCTGTTGATTAAGTGAAACTGCTTACAGTATTTTGAGAGGAAAGGCCAAAATAAAGTGCCTTCAGACGCTTCCTGGTCCTACAAGCTTGAGGAGCCCCTATTGGAATCATAGGCTTAGAGTTTCTGGAGAAAGCCCTCAATCGGGACACAATTTAATCTGAACATTTTAAGGAAGAACTTGCACACAAATTACCTCTTGTGATCTTTACTTGAAAAGTAGGCACAAGAGGTTCTAACCTATTTTACAGATGAAGACAGAAGGAAGGAAGAGAACTGTCCAAGACCACAGGGCTAGGGTGTCGGGGTGAAGACTAGTGATCAGATTTCCTCAAGCTGGTTCTTTTGTGGAATTTGATTTGCAAATCTAGTCCTTGGTAAAGCAAATACCCATTGCAAATAGCTCAATACCCACATGCAAAAGCCATTCCCAGACCAGGATGGAATTGGTTTGAGTCTGGCCAGGCTGAGGAATCACAGAATCCTCCTCTGGGGCAGCCTGGGCAGCTCCTGTCCTCCACCAGCCTCCTGCTTCTGCCACTCACAGGCACCAGAATGCCCTTCCCTCTCCCCATCCAAATTCTACAACAAAAGAAGCTGTTTCAGCCTACTGCTCTCCCTGACTCTCCATGCCCCTGAGACTTCCTTCCCAGAAAAAAACTCAAAACAATGATTAACAGTGAGGAGGCTGCGCAAGTGCTTCCTTGTGTCAGGCACATAGAGACGGAAAGGCAGGTACTTTTGTCATCCCTGTTTTGCAACTAAGGAAACTGAAGTTCAGAGAGGTGGAGTGACTTGTTCAAGGTCACACAGCAAGTTAGCAGACAGCTAGAACTCCCACTCTAATCGGCCTGACTTAAAGTCCAGTCCATCAGTTTCTTGAAACATCCTGACTGTAGACTTATGGATGTGCCCTGCCTCCGGGTGGGATGGCTGTGACTCCATCGGTGAGCATCTGCTCACCCAGCAGTCTCAGGACCTGTCCCTTCCCTGCTGTTGTCCACAGGGAAGAATGTGGAAGGGCCTGGGCTGTAAAACCAGGGTGAGGAGGTTGCAGGACAGTGAATCAGGGGACGGGGACTGGGGAGCTGCCCCAGAGGAGCCTGGATTGGACACACCTGTCTAGTTCACCTGGGCATCTTGGCACCCAGGCCCAAAGGCTATCAATATTGTGAGCTGCACGACAGAATGAACAAATGAAGGAATAGTAATTAATCAGAATTACTTTAAAGCCAATCCCACACGATTCTCTTATGGTGCCCAGCTTACAAAGACTTTCTCTCCAGAACCCTAGGGGGATAGCAAGCAGGGACACAGACCAGAGCATCAGGAAGGCCCCTTGCTGAAGGCCACATAGATGGGACACAGGAGGCCACACTGGACTGCACTGCTGGATGTCAGTTCTGTAAGCCTCACTTTTCCTCATCCGTAAAATGGGGTGAAACATGTTGCCCCACCTTGTTCCTTGGCCACTGCACTGGGCTGCTTCTGATACAGTTCTGGGGAGGCATTCTCCCCTCCTCCTCTTCAGTTCAGTGCCAAGTTCAAGCTTCCCAGAGTCCCCACCCTGGTCAGGGAGCTGTGGGAAGCACCAGGGTCCCAGGCTGGGGTAGAGCATCCTCCACCACCTCAGCCCCCGGGCAGGCAGGGTCATCCCTTACCCTAGCTCAGAGCGAGGCTTAAAGACCAGAGTGCTGCTTCTTGGGTCACCTAATCTCATCCACACAGCCAATGCCTGATTTCCCTGCATCCTTCTCTGGCTAGTCCTGGGTATTTAATGACCCAGTCAATGGCCCTGGCTGCAAGGAGGCACAGCAGAGGCTGAACATGTTCTGAGCTTGGTGCTCACCCACAGTCTATCAAATGAGCCCCCAACAAGCCTTGGAGGTGGTATTTCCGGTGCCACCTGGGAGTGGCAAGCAGTGAAGGGCAGGTGGCTGGGGCCAGGCTAAGCCCCTCGGACCTTGCCCAGAGGGAGAGGGGGGGTGTGAGGCAGGAGAGAGGCACAGTCAGTTTGTTTAGGACACATGGACAGGGCAGAGGGGCATTCCCAGCAGAAGTGACAGCTTGAAGAGAAGCATGGAGCTGTGGCAGCACATGGCCAATCTGGGGCAGTGAGCTGCCACTCCCAGGCACCCGAGAGCCACAGAGTTGTGAGGTGGTAAGGAATACAGGGGCCAGACAACAGGGCCTTCAATGCCATGCCATGTTGGATAAACCGATGTCAGTGGTGAGGAAGCAACAGGAAGCATGCTGGGCCAGGGGAGCAATGAAGCAAAGGGGGCACCAACCTCAGGGAGAACCCCGAGAGCCGGGCAGGGGCCTGGCCTTAAGTGTCCATGGTTGCTTGGGCAGAGGAGACAGGGTGGCTGTCGGGCAGGTTGGGCAGATTGGGCAGGGCCAAGACTACTGCGAGCTCCAGGCCCAGAGCCCTGATCCTTGCAGGGGCAGAGGAGCTGTCATTGCTTCCCTTGATCTAGAAAGTAGAGGGGTGGATGAAGGATGCATCCCCCAGGGTGCTTCTGGAAATAGGGTCCTGCTGGCAGCCAGCCACCTGTCGTCCATCCATCTGTCCACCCGCCCATCCATCCATGCCTACCAGCCACATCCTCCTGGCCAAGCTGGGACAGTGCTGGGGAGCAGGTGGCCAATGGGCACCAAGTTACTTGGCAGCCAAGTAATTCAAAGCCTTCTGCAAAAAGGTGCTGCTTCCTATGAGACTCACCACACACTAGTGGCCTCCGCTGGTCAGAGCCAATGGGCCACCTTCTGGTCCTGTCCTCTGTGGCCTCCCTGCCACCTGGACATGTGTGTGTGTGGGGGGGTGCTGTGTGCCAGGTCCCTGGGATTCCTCGCCTTCTCTGTCTCTTTCACAGCTACCCACCACTCACGCCCACCAGCTGGGCTCCTCCCAGCTCCAACAGGAGCCTCCTCTCCCCCCACCTCAGTGCCCGGCTGGCCCTCCCTTCTAGGACTCTAGGTACCAACCAACCTCGAGCCTTCGGGTCTGGCCCAGGCCTCCATCACCACCACCACCTCCCCTGGCCAACTCATAGACTGCTCAGACTCAGCGGGGCTGCGCTGGATAAGGCCTCCTCTGGCCCCATCCCTAAGCAGGACGGCTCCATCTGCCCAAACACACAGTGACCCACAGCACTTCCCTCCCTCCCCTCCTCAGGCCCACCACCAGCCACATCCACAGGAGGCCATTTCCAGAATCTCAAACCCACCCACCCCTCCGAGGCAGCCCTGGGACCAGGGAACGGCCTGCTTTGTTTGGAGCCCAACATGGCCAGTTCATATCTCGGCTCCAACTCCCCAGTGGTGTGATCTTGAGCAAGTCACTTGCCCCATCCCCACTTAAAAGGATCAGCAGCCCAAAGCCTGGGGCTAACCCAGACTGGGGGGATCAGAGAGACTTCGCAGGGAAGCAGGGGGGCCTGCCTTGGGTCTTAAAGGATGAGACAGTGGGGACATGCTGGCAGAAGTGACAGCCTGAGCAAGGGCCCACAGAAGAGAAGCATGTTGTGTGGAGAGGACACAGGTGTCCTGGTGCTGTTGGGAGATGGGGACAGGGCTGCAACATCAGTCAGGGCCAGGCCAGGGAGGTGGATCCCCGAGCCCCAGGCCTGGAGTCTGGACCGGAAGCATGGGTGATGGGACAGTGTGTGGTTCAGAAAGATCCTCTGACTGCTGGGTGCTGAAGGGACTGCAGAGGCAGGGCAGGAGGGTCCCCATCAGGAGGCTCTGGAGAAGGGAGGAACAAGGAGGGGCTGCACCAGGCCCTAGAGGACAATGACCACACAGGCCTGGCCACTTGGTTAGAGCTGCAGGCAGCTCCACAGTGTGGCCTGGGAGGTCTCTAGATACCGACAGGGACAAACACAACCACAGAAACATGCAGACAGACAGCACCAAACCCGGACACAAGGGACAGACACAGATCTGTGGCCACAAGCAGGACCAGTGGGGACACAGCAACTGCCATGAGTGGGAAGCCACAACCACCAGGACATGGGCAGCTGCTGAAGGAAGGAAGCGGGGGACCTCCCCCCCAGGCACAGCTGGAGGGCAGCAGTGAGTGGCTAGGGGACAATGGGATGAACAAAATGCCTGGATCCCCCAAAGAACACACCCCTCATTCACAGATTGCAACCTGGAATCACAGGCTCCTTACCTAGAGTGTCCTTTCCCACTTGGTGAACTTCTACTCATCCTTCAAGACCCAGCTCAAGTGTTCCCTCTTCTACGGAGCCTTCCCTGAACCCCCAGTCAGTCACTTCCTCTGTGTTCCCAACAGCACCTTGTATATGGGAATAACAATAACAATAATCATAATAAATGGCAGCTACCATTGATTTCAATACCTATGTGCTGAGTACGATTCAGCTCACTGAATCTTCCCAAAGACATTGTCAAATGTGCACTTCACAAAAGACACTACAGCTCAGAGAGGTCAACAGCTTGCCCAAAGTCACACAGCTGGTAAGTATGGGAGTTAAGATACCACCCAGATCTGATCCCACCTTCCAGGGCCAATTACACTCTGGTTGGTCCTCCAGTTCCCTGATACTGTACCTGGGTATCCTCCCCCACCAGACTGAGCTCTTCACAGCCAGGGCTGGTGCTTGTTCACCTATGCCAGTATCTAGCTCAAGGTGGTTACTTAAAATGGGCTGGGAACCATGGTGGGATATGTACAGCCAATTTTTACTGTTACAGTAGATCCAATGTGCAGATGAAGAAATGGAGGCCCAGAGAGGTTCAGTAACTTGCCAGAGCTGAGTCTGGATTTAAAAGCAGGTCACCCTGCCCCAGGAGGGTGGCCTCTGAGATCAGCCCAGTTAACTCCACACAGGGGTAGTGAGGGGGCTAGGAGAGGGGCACACCATGTGCCGGTCCTGTCACCTGGGGAGGTGCAGACCCAGATGGATGGACAGAGGGTGGGCAGCACAGGGTGGGCTGTAGGAGCCTTGGCCAATGCAGCGGGCAGAGGCGGGCATTTAACCAACTTATGAGCCCTCCCCAGCCCAGCCCAGCTCATCCCACACACATCAAAAATGTGCCCAGGCCCCACGGCCCCACGGGAAGTAGCTCCCAACAAAGCAAATGGGAGACAGAAAGGCCCGGAACTGTCCGACACTATGATTACCAGGAGGCAAAAATAAAACGTGCGTCAGAGAAAGCAAGCGGCAGGAGCCGCGCCCAAACAGAGGCCAGGACAGAGGAGGCAGCCCCACTGATTCAGGGTTTTGTCTTCGTTTCTGTGCTTTCCAAATTCTCAGTAATATCACTAAGTTGCTTTTATGATGAAAACAATACATTTATTCTTAAAATGAAACAAAGTGGCGGGTGTCCCAAGGCAGAGGGAACCTGCAGCGGCAGGGGAAGGTCAGGGGCGGCTGATGGTGACCGCTCAATGCCAGGCCCTGCACAGCGCCACGCTCCAGGCTTGTGTGGCGGGTGGGGAGTGGGTACAGAGAGGGCCACCCGGAAGGGTACCATGAACCTGGTTAGGGTCTCGCAGGCTGGGGGAAGAGGGGGTCTCTGCCCCATCCCTCGCTCTGCTCTAGGACACTTCAGCTCTAGCTTCAGCTATTGCTGGAGCCTCCCCCAGGATTCCCCACTTCCACCCTCACCCTTCATCCCATTCTCCTACTGCAGCCCCTGTGATATGTCTGCTGTCTAAGTCAGATCATGCTGCCCTACTTCATACCTTCCATGGCTCCCTACTTCCCTCCAGATAAAGTCAGGATTCCTCGAGCCTTCCGTTCTGGCTCCAGCATGCTGACCTTTGACCTCGTGTGTTGTTCCCCTTTACTTTCTGCCCAGCCACAGTCTCTATCCCCCAGTGCTCCACTTCCTTTCTTGCTTCCTCAGCTTCAAGTTGGCAGTGTCCTCTCCCTGGTATCCTCTGCTGTTCCCATTTTACTGGTTAATGCCAACTTCTCCCTTCAGCCAGTTTACAGGCCATTTCCTCCTGGAACCCTGGACCGCTTCCTCCACCCTGGGCCCTGCCCCAGTGTACCCTGCATTTCTATCACTGGAGTACTGCTCACTCCATTTTCTGTTTTCTCATCCATCTCAGTGGCTGGACCCTGACTCTGTCAGGAAAGGATCAGGACTGAATTATTTACATTTTAAGCCCCCTCAGTATCTCTAAGTACTTGAACGAATGAATGAATGAACGAGCACTTAGGTGGAGAGACCGAAGTGACCCGGCCTGGTAGAAGAAAGCTTGCTTCCCTCAATTCCTCCTCCACCCTGACACTTGGATTCCCTGCATTACACTGTTCCCTGTTCTCCATTTCCTGTATCTGGGCTCTCTCTTCCTAATTGATCTGGGAAGGAGCTGTGTGTGCTCCGTAAAGCCTAGAAGACCTGAAAACAATGTTAACAGCTAATAAACACAGCCAATGGTTCTGCTTCCCTGGCAGTGAAAATTAAATAAACTTCACCTGTCAAAAGACCAAAAAGAAATAAGAAAACAATAACATCCGATACTGGTGAGGGTATGGGGAAATTGGCACTCTTATGTATTATCGGTGGTAGTATAAATTGGAACAAAATCATTTCTGAAAACAACCGGGGCATAATGTGTCAAGAGCTCTAAAAATGTTCAGATTTCCTGGCCTAGTGATCCCATTCTTGGTCATCCATCCCTGGAAAATAACCCAAAGATAGACAAAGTTATATGCACAAAGCTGTTTGCTTCAGTGGATTTTTACGATAGCAAAAACCTGGAATAGACAAAATTTTAAACAATAAGGAGACAGCTCTGTAAATCATGTTATTCAGTGCTAAGTATAGCCAGTGCTACTGGCATTGCCCTGACTCATTTAACATCAGCATCAACCTACCAGGAACTGAGGCAGAGATTAGGGAAATCACCCTGAGTCACCCCATGAGTATGAAACTCAAATACAGAGCACCAGCCTCTGGAGCCCAGGCTTTCTACATGGACACTGAACTCATTAAAAAGAAGAATCAGAAAATACTGCAGTCATTTAGAAAATCCTCAGTACAATAGTCAGGGGAAAATGGAAGATTTAAAGTTAGCAATGATGTCTCTATAGAAATGGGGTGCTGAGAGAAAAGAGGGTTAGAAAACACCCCAGTGCTAATAGGGATGGCATTTTGGACTTGGATTAGGGCAGTGATGGGAAGGGATTTTTATTTATTAAATTTCCCTACTTTATGACTTTTTGCAGGATAGCTATGTGACTTTTTAAAAATTAAAGCTTCAGCTAGGGTTGGCAAAGCAAGACACCCCAGCCCCCTGCCCTATTCCCTCACACCATTCCAGCCTGAAGCTTGCAAGGTTACCCAAGAGAAAGGGATTCTGGGAGAGGCAGGAACTTGATGGAGTCTCATAGCAAGCCTGAGCCCCACCCACTACCCCAGCCAGGAAAGCAGTCAAGAAGGGACTCTCAACCCATCCCACCCCGTCCCATCCAGAGGCTCCATCAAGGAGGCCAGACAAGGAATAGCCCAGGCTGCCCAGGTCACTCATTTTCCCACTGAAAATCCTTCTGGTGTTCCCAGTGTTTGAGAGGTACAGTACTAACCTCACAGCTGGACACCCAAGGCCTTTGCCAAGACGATCCTGCTGGTCATATTCACCCTGACACCTGGCCTCCACCCTCACATGTGGGCCCTTCAAAACAAGCTGCTCATGTGCTGTGCACAGGTTCTGCCACCCACCCAGGGGCCACACCACCCTGCTAGACACCAACCTCTCAGGCAGGTGTCACTGCCTTGGGTGAATGGCTTGGTTACCTATCTGTCTAGTCCCCCAAGCCAGCTGTAAGCTCCACCAGGGCAGAGCCTGAGCTTAGGGGCGACTTGGTTATAGTCACTGTTCCCTCACTTGGCCCCACAGCTCAGAGGCTCTTCCTTCAGGTCTCAGTTTAGAGACCACTTTCTCCCAGCAGGCACTGGGTCACCTGTTAACACACTCTCCTACCCTGCCTTTGTATCTTGGAGAGTCAATGGCAAGAGGGTCTTTCCATGAGTTCCTGAAGACAAGTTTGCCAGAGGAGCAGGAAGGCAGGGGTGCATTCGCTACAGAGGGGCAGTGTGCGCAAAGGCACAGAACATACCTAAGAGGAAAAGCAGAAGGAACTGCTTGTGCAAAGGTCCAGGAGCAGGAAAGCACAGCACAGCACTTTTGCCCTGGAGTTAGCATAGCGCAGGGAGGGATCTGTGGGAAAGTGGGAGCTGGTGATCAGAGCAGTTCTTTCTGGGCCAGAGTTCCAGGCCATTGTGCCTAGCTGATAGGCCATGGGGGCCACAGGAAGGCCCTGAGAGGGGCAGGAATGTGATCAAGGTTTCCTAGTGGGGCCAGAGAGATGGCCTGGAGGGGACAGGAGAACACCGTCTAGGAGGCAGAAGCTGAGGCTTCCCATCTTTCTGGCTCCTTGATACTGCCACATGCTCAAAGCCCATCTCCCATGGCCCTCTGCCCTCCATATGCCCCCACTCCATGCAGCCCAGAGCCCCTCCTCAGCTGCTGTGCCCCACCCCCAAGACCTTGGCCAGGCCAGCCTCAGAAACTCCTCCTGCGAACTTCCTGTGAGGAGCAAGGCTCCTGAGGGTCCTGGATCCAATTAGGCTGGTTTCTGCAACCCTGGAGGGCTGGGGAGGGCTGTTTTCACTGTGAGGCAGAGCTGATCCAAGTGGGAGGGGGGCTAGTGTCTGTGCCTGGGTCCTGAGAGCTGGGATGCAGCTCCCTCCCCTCCCTCTGCCCCATCCCTGAACCCTCAGGGACCCCGCACATCCTCTTCTAGCCACCTAGGGACACCCTGGCAGTGGGGCTTCTTGGGGAGCCTCAGTGTCTTCATCTAGGGAATGGGTAACATTTTCTTAGTACTGAATTTTCTACAGCTTTTGAACCCAGGCCCCTCTCTACTTCCAGCTCCCCTGGGGACCCCTAGCTGTCATCCCCATGGGATCTCCTGCCATCATGGGATGGGGATGACAGTGACAGATTCTGAGTGCTTTTCACTCCAGCTCCTAACAGCCCATTAGGAAGAGGCTGTGAACATTTTGAAACAAAGCGCACACTCAGAAAGACAGTGAGAAAGTCCAGGTACAGCTAGCTGGCTGGCTTTTACAAAGCACACATTCAGGACAGTTACGGGTCCTTGTCCCACTCCCTTCTCAATAACACCCCACCCAGGCCCCAAAGAGCAATCCCTTATGGCAATCTCTTCCTTGACTGGAGTTAGGAATGAAGTTCAGGTCATCCTAATCATCCCAAGGCCAGGCATAGGTGAGGGCCATGGTAACCTCTAGCAAGTC